TCTATTACTATTAAAAGGGGGATATAAGAGCCTCTCAGCTATGCTACATAGGCCAAAATATTCAACCAATCAGAAGACTCTATTTTACCACGTCATCAGAATGAATCTGTCCCAGACGCGAAACCTTTCGACGCCAACCCTCATTTCCTCGATCTCATCCTCCTCTCCGATTCATCTCGCGTTCCGGCTTCCACTGGCGACCGCAAGATCAAAAAGAAGACCGCCGCGGCGACTGCGAAACCAAATGGGAAGCCCCCTGCTTCTTCTCCGATCCAGGGCAGCCAATCAGTGTGGTTAATCGTCCAGACAATATTTACGTTCTCTTTTGGAGTTGATTGGTTTTGACTTCTTTTCCATGGTTTACCACCGATTTGGTCGTAATCAGAACACAAAGTTGAGAACTTTTTGTTTCCAGATCTTAATTCTCTTTGAGCTATCTGCAGCTGTAATCGTTTTTATTATCTGGTTGAACTAATGTGATTTGACGCTTTTACTAGACTTCATTGTTTTGATTACATGTGGAGCTTTGGCTTCTGCAACTATATACGAGTTTGTTATTTCTGATTTCTTTTCTTGCTGTTATACGTTGTGAAGGAAAAAGAACAGGGCATACTGACTTTGTGGATTAAGACAACGGAGACGGTAAAACCTATCAGCTTGGGAGCTCCTAAGCCTGCTATGGAGATAGACAACCCCGATGGTAGCAGTGGAAGTGGAGATGCTGCTGAAGGTACATTGTAAATGCTATTTCATATCTGTTGCGTCAGTTTCTGAATGTGACATCAACGTTATCTATTATGGTCGTTATCTCTTTCTGTAGAGATGGTTGTTCCACATGTCGACAAAAGCATTTTCGAGGAACTTGAAGCGATGGGATTCCCTAAATCTCGTGCTACCTGAGCACTTCACTACTCTGGTAAAAATCTCGCGTTATTCACTATTGATTGAATGTTTTGCTTATTAAATGAAGTTTTAGCTTGTCCTGTGTGACTACACTCTTGAACACCTCTCATTTATCCCAGTAAAGCATGTTAACTTATACGTAAAAGTTTGAAGATTTAATCATTTGCATCTGAATCTTGAAGTTCTTTTACACACTGTTATATTCTTCTCCGTTTCTCTTTTTTTGTAACATAGTTTGAACTTAATTCCGTTAGGTA